AGCCTCGCTTGCATTCATAGGCCAGTTAACTAAGCACACAACTGTAAAATGGCCTATTGTAATTGCTATTGTAACTGTAAGCCACAGGATGACTATGGGCATCTAGTTAGTCTAACATGAGATTGAGACGATGTCTCACAATAGAAAAATATACATAACTATCTTGCGAGTGCCATCACTTCGCAGTCACAGCTCAAAAAAGTCACGATGTGCGGCAGAAAGCACTGCAGATCCCCTGTTAAGGTAGCACAGTCCTGAAGTACAAAGCCGTCCAACTTATAGGCTGGTTACTCGCTAGTCTTGCCCCTGTACTCTTTGTAATGGTACTTACCTTCTGTAAACGACGAATGGCATAAATATTTTTCGTCAAGCACAGTATGTTAAAGACCAAAGCAAGGCTTATAGGGGTCACCATGGAAACAATCATTCCTATTTTATCTGATATCCAGCAATAGGTTGCATTTCCTAAAGGTCAAGAAACGGAACGCATATAACTGTGATGAGAATACAATCAGTGTCCTGTAATACTAAACCCCACTCACAGACTAAGTTAGGTCTCGAAAGGCGAGCACAAGCACACTGTAGCTAACTAACATAATACAAAAAATATAAGTAGCCTTTGTTTAACATTGGTCAGTGATTAGCCAAAGTCAATTGGGGCCGAGTAATTAACTTTCAGAAACAAATACTCAAATTAAACATAATAAGGTTATAAGGGTTAAACCCAATCTGACTGGAAGCAAACCAGTTGGCTATTTACAAATGCAGCCGAGGAGCTGAACTAGGGTCAACCCTTAAACAAGATCAGCTAGTGGTCAGACTTGAACCAGCGAACTCCGGATTTCCAGTCCGGCGCCCTAAACACTCGGCAACGCTGCCTCCATTTAAATATGTAACACCCAGCTTGGACCTTTTATTTAGACTTTCTATTTTTCCGCCCGTTTTCATTTACAAACCATATCCGAAATGAAAAGTTCCAGAGGAGTCCAGGACAGAGCACAAAACAACAATCACAGCAGGCAGTCCCCATCCCACAATGCAATACTTGATGAAGGTCTTCGTAATGTCCGAAGGTTGTCTCCTTGTGTTGCCTCCTGCACAGGAAAAACAACAATGACAAAACATATGGAGTTGATTTCTATCTCGTGTAACCATGGTTACAGACGAGATTTAACAGGGGTTGTGTCAGTCATGATCAATTTCCCATGTACTTGTTGGCGGATTTGAGATAAGGCTCTAATGCATGGTATTTGTGCTATTATGGTTTTCACATAAAGTTGTAATAAGTTATGTTGGTGTCTTAAAACAACCCTGTGAGAGTTGAACTATTTCCTTATTTAAGCACTTTGCTTTGTTCTAATGAATTTGCGTGGCTGCTGGCCACGTGAGTGAAAATCAGATTACGAAATGGCAAGCGATCAAATTCACTTTCAAAAGTTCATTAATGCATTGCCTCAATTTCTGCCGCTCTCTTGAGTCTGGCCTACTTTCCCCCTTCGGGGGCGGGGAACGAGCTCCTTTCCCCAAAAGCGGTTGGTAATCTAGCCTATTTATTACATACCTACATGAAAATCCAAACCGGGATAGACGAGGATCACAACAATATTTTCTAAACGATTTTAACGCTTTCGCTTAATAAAGAGCTGCATGCGCCTCTTCCACGTTAAATCGAATTGAAACCTTTAGTTCAACCGTCGTATGTTTGAGTGTTTAGTTGACTTACCCTTAACTGAAAAGGCATTCGCTGTATCAAATGCCATGGCACACATCCAGGAAAATGCAGCGAGGATGAAGAAATGGAGAAAAATGGCGACTGCCTTACAAAGAACATCAATTTCTTTCGACTTTGCAGCACTGAGGAAGATAGTTTGATAACACAGCAAGGCCAACGAGAGGTTGATAAGACATTTGCCAGGGAGATTCCTCAGTTCTTTGAACATGAGGTAAACACCAAGAAGAATACACAGTGAAATGATCGACAGCACCGTGCCAATCAATGTGATGTAAATAAGAACTGAGGAGTCTTCTTTCGGGTCTTTATCAGTATGACGTTCTGGACACAAAACATATACTGCATTTCCTTGTAGTTTCATGGCTTTCTTGTCTTTTAAGAACTGCTCTCTCGTTGTGAACATTACACGACTTTTGTTAAAGGAAACGTTCACAGGCGTCGATTGGTTTTTCGTCAGAGTGACAACCTGGCATGTTTTACCACCCACGATTACTGTACAGTTTTTGGTATTTGAAGTGCAGTTAAATATCTGTGACGTGAGATTGTCACCTTGTGCAGAAGGTCCAGTTATAACAGTTGGGTGTGGAGTCTTTGGTTCTTTTGGATAAGCAATGTTTGAACTTACATCTACGAGGATCGACCAAGGTGGCATTGGTGGACCTCCAGCGGAGGACCCTGGTTGACGCTTTCCTTCTGGATTACAAAGCACACAGTGAGGGTTTCTGTATTTCACTATTTTCGTTGCATAAACCCGAAACGTCATAGAATAGGAAGAACACAGTTCTTTGATTACAGACATCACCGGTAGCTGATTTGAAGCAGTGCATTGTGTATCGGGGTGCACGCAAGACTTGTAGCGTTGCTTCAGTTCCGGCAATGGAGCGTATTTCCATGTACAGCTATTGTTTTTTACAAACGTCTTGACTGCCTCGATGTCACCACCATCCCATGAGCTACCTCGACACTCAATGTTGAGGCCCCAGAAAGTTAAGTTACCTTCACCATTGCATCTGGCACAAGCAATGCTTCTGTATGTTATATTCTGCGTCCAGTCAAAGACTGGCAGTTCCTTCTGTATCGTCATATTCAGCTGCTGAACAGTTTGGCATTCGTTAATATCTTGGTTTCCAGGCAGGCTGCAAGAGGATTTCATGATTACCCCAGACCATGAAAATGGATTGGTCTCCCCACACTTTGCGTTCTGAAGAAGATCGTCATCATTGGCATTTCCATTTGGATCACAACTAGGAATAAACGATAAATGACAAAATGAATAAGTGTGAAAAACTAAATACCAACCAGTGCTAAAACGCCGAGGGCCTTGCAATGATGGTCTCCTACTCAGTAGTAACAATTATGCAACAGGTTTTAAATTACTCAGTCCTTTATTATCAAGTTTAGTCATGCATTACAGATAGAGAGGAAAATTATTATGACTAAAATTAGGATGAGTTCCACTGGGATGATCCGGATCAGGATCAGTGATCCAAGATCACTTGGATCACGTGTGGTACTTCAAAGGAACTAATAAATCCTTATCCAGAATAGATTCCTCGGCTCCCTTGATGCACCACGATCCGAGTGATATTAGATCGCTGATCGTGATCCGGATTAAGTCGAAATAATGCACACTAAGACACTGACTGATCTTCGCAATGTGCAGAAGATACTTAATGGCCTGCCAGTAACGATTAATNTTGCAGGACACGGCGGGTAGTCCCGAGCGGGCAAGATAGCTCCATCTTGCCCGCTCGGGTAGCCAATCACAGCGCAGGATTTGATTCATCTTGTCCGCACGCGGAGCTAACCATATAATAAGTATATTTTTTCGACTTCAGATATCGTCGGATGTCTTCAGTCCGATTCAGAAATTTTCCGTACTTGAGAGAAGTGCGTATTAGAACACTCAAAAGACTGCTGTTCATTTATAGAATTATCCTTTCAAGAAAAAGTATGAGAGAGTTGCATCACTCTTGATGGGATTCTAATAGAACTTATGGTCATTTGCTTTATAAAACTGGACTAAAATGTCAGTTAAAGCTAATAAAACGTTAGAAAAACAGAGTGATGATCCAGAATAGTTTTTAATTAAAAAGATATGCAAAACACATCGGTTGACTTTGAAGGTCTCGCTTCAAGATAAAAGCTAAGCCGACTAGGGAGTCAAAGTTCAGCTGAATCATACCTTGAGTGAAAGTCCAAGCAGCAGTCACCGTATGCTTTGCAAGCTTTATCACAATAGCACCTCTTCTCGTCACTCCTTTCGTCCATGAAACATCTTCCTTGACAAGATTGGTCTGAGGAATCCTTTTGTTGAAGCACTTCAGCGAGAACTTCACTTTCCTGTGGTATAGTGATATTGTGCTGGCGGAGCAGTTCAGTCAGGTTCTTCCAGCTAAAGATTTCACCCTTAAATTTCACAACGAAGTCCGCGTCGTTTGACCCTACATCAGGGAAATATACACACACTGTTACTACAGTCTTTATCATCACATACAATGACTCATATAACCAATGTCTTATGTGCCCATGGGCATGAAAATGATTGAGTGAGTGATCATGACATATAACTCAGCTACATGAAAACGTCTCCTAACCCCATTCACACCTGTAACATGCTTTGCTATGTGTTTTATATTCTTTCATGTCATTTTATTTGTAATCCACAACAGCTTTCCCTTAAGGTCTATAGTTAGATAGTGTTACCGCGCTTTGTTATCACAAAGCACGGTCATTTGACCTTGAATCAGGGAAACAATCGATGTGCCACCTAACCATAGATTAACATAACTTTAATGGCGTTTTAAAGGTAGTGAAGTAATCCAAAATGTACCTAACAAATACTGCACCTACCAACTGGTATTGGAAACTGATTGAAGTCGTTGCTTTGCAGGTTTAGGTTTGATCTTGCTGGCGTAGTGAAACTCAAAATCACAGCGCCCGCGAGGCACATTGCGATAAGATTTGAGTTGTGCAGTTTCATTTTTGTGTCGTGAAGCTTTGACGATGAATTAAATGAATTACCAAATGTTCCTCACATGGGAAAACAAGGGTTACACCATTGTCCTTTTGGTTTCTTTCCCTCACCGTTCGTCCTTTTCGCTGTTCAGCCAACTAATTATGACCGCCTTTGAGGAAACAAACGCGATGAAATAATAATTTACTGTTAATTACGCTAACATTCATTTCGTGGATCACTGTTTTGTCATGCTGGTTGGGTCTTGAATATTAATAATTAAAATCAAGTTCTCAGTTGGGTGCGCTGAGCCAGGTCAGTTGGTTTTCGTTTAATTTAACGCATAAGAAAAAATACCCTCTTCTACAGTGACTGCTTGTGGAAATATTTTGGTATTTTACAGGCAGTAGGGTACGAAATTCCCAAAACGCGCCATTTTAACTCGTTCAATGTCGAGAACACCTGGCCTTCTGTATAAATCAATTAAAATAAAACATCAAGCATCGACAAATTGCACTATCGCCGGAGTAGGAGAGAAGGCGGGTAAACTAAACTAATTTTAAAATGGTGGAATGACAGTTGAGCGAATTACAAAGCGAAAGGGCATTCTTTTATAACTTTATGCTTTTGTAGCTTTACAAAAAAATTGGCTTCAATCGATATTTTGTTTTAAGGCAGGTTTTTAATTTATTATTTCATTTTGGGTTACCCAGTGTTTTGTTTGTTGATTCGAGTAAACACATTTTACATATCACGCGGTGCAGAAAATGCAAACCTTCTAAAAGCACGTTATTTTAATACTTTTTTAATTAAAAAAAGCTGCGTTACTCCTGAGTCCACTCGAAATTTGTCACACGTTCTTTAATTTTTGCATTGGTTTTACATGTAACTTTAAGTTAAAAACGACCGTACGCATTAAAATAGTAATATAAACTTTTTAAATACCTTGTTATCTACAGGGAATTAAACATCGTTATTTCAAATGTGAATTGAACAATTCAGAAATTAATATTTTGAATTTTATCTCTGGCTATATCTCCGCTCCAAAAGAGTCGTCATTTGCAACATTTGGTTTCCTTCCGACAGGTGAACTTTTAAATGCAATAACTCGGCAAGCCAATGTTATTTACTCTTTCCTTATGAAAAAAATATGATGATTGACAGGTGTATTGTCTGATAACACACTAGATTACCGACCTCTTGTAAACACCTAGTAAAATGTGTTTCGTGGTATTTTTTTTTTTTTCTTTGCTTTTCAGTTCTTTATTTAGAAAGGCCTGAAGAGCTGAGAACACTTGCTTATTATTGCTCTTCGTTTGTCGCTGCTGATTTCATATGATTGATGATGATTCTATTTAAAGCGTGCTTGTCGCTAAGGACAACTTTATCACTCTTTCGCTCCTCTTTTACAAACAACGTGGCTCATTTAGGACAGGACAGTTTTTCCTTGTTTACTTTAACTAAAAGACGAACCGCTCATTAATTAAATTTACAGATTATGCAAGAGAGAAAGTTTTCTTTCAATAGCTCTTATGTTTTGCTTCTAATGGATAAGTTTTTT